AAAACCCAGATACCCATCAACAGATGAATGGATAAACAAACTATGGTACATACACACAATGGAGTATTATGCAATGATGAAGAACAATGATGAATCTGTGAAGCATCTCATAACATGGATGAAACTGGAGGACATTATGCTGAGTGAGATAAGTCAGTCACAAAAGGACAGATATTGTATGAGACCACTACTATAAAAATTCATGAAAAATTTTACACACACAAAGAAACAATTTTTGATGGTTACAAGGCATCGGAGGGGTAGGGGTGGGGAATAAATACTAAATAGACAATAGATAAGTGGTAACTTTGGTGAACGGTAAAACAGTACACAATACTGAGGAAGCCAGTACAACTTGTACAAGGCAAGGTTATGGAAGCTCCATAGACACATCCAAACTTCCTGAGGGACCGAACTGCTGGGTGGAAGGCTGTGAGGACCATGGTCTTGAGGAACATCTGGCTCAACTGGCATAACATAGTTTATAAAGAAAATGTTCTACATTCTACCTTGGTGAGTAGTGTCTGGGGTCTTTAAAGCCTGTGAGCAGCCACCTAAGATACTCCACTGGTGTCACTCCTTCGAGAGCAAGGGAGAATGAAAAAAACAAGATACAAGGGAAAGATTAGTCCAAAGGACTAATGGACCACAGCTACCATGGCCTCCACCAGACTGAGTCCAGTACAACTAGATGGTGACCGGCTACCACCACTGACTGCTCTGACAGGGTTCACAACAGAGGGTACCCGACCAAGCTTGAGAAAAAAGTAGAACAAAATTCTAACTCACAAAAAAAGACCAGACTTGCTGGCCTGACGGACTGGAGAAACCCCGAGAGTGTGGCCTCCTGACACCCTTAGCTCAGTAATGAAGACAGCCCCAAGGTTCACCCCTCAGCCAAAGATTAGACAGCCCCATAAAACAAAATGAGATAATGGGGAACAACAGCCCAGGGGCAAGGACTAGAAGGCAGGAGGGGACAGGAAAGCTGGTGTCGACATGTCGTGGGTTGTTAACCAGTGTCATAAAACAATATGTGTACTGTTTAATGAGAAACAATTTGTTCTGTAAACCTTCATCTGAAGTACAATAAAAAAATTTAAAAAAAAAGAAATTAAGACAATTGTTACATGTATATCTTTGTTTACTAAATATTTAACATAATTCTATTATCTATTTTCAAGTTTAGAACAACTTTCTAATGACATATTTACTGTTTCTAATGACTTACAGTTAACGGTTAAAGAGCATCATAGAAATTTATGTTTCTATGTCTAAGTTCAGAAATTCTCTATTTCTAGATTCACATTATAAGTGAGTTAGACATAGGTGTTTAAAAGAGTAATAAAAATCATCACAACAGTGCAAAAAATCATTATAGAATACATGATAGTGACTTACACATAGGTGACCTGAGAACACACAAAAAGAATACATAACAGCAAGCATAGTTGTGAAACATTAGAGGTATTGTCATTTTAAATTAGAAACAAGATAAAGATGATTGCTATCACCATTTTTAGTCAACATTTTACTGGAAGTTTTAGCCATTGCAATAAGTAAAATGGTACACAGAAAGAAAGAGATGCAGCTATCTGTATTTGCAGATGATATGATTACATGGAAAATCAATTAAAATATACAAATTATTTAAAATACTGAGAATTCAAGAACTTTTACTGGTTATGAGATCAGCATACAAAATAAATATCAAATAAATACACTAATAATAACCACTAAGAAAATATAAAAGCAAAAAAAAAAGACTCTATTCAAAATAGCTATAGATGCTAGGATCCTATCTAACAAAATATGGGTGGGAAGACTTGAGAACATAAAGTAGAGATTTCCCCAAAATTCATCTATAAAATCAAGATGATCATAATCAATATTCTAACATGTTTTTTTAAGGAATTTGACATAGGTATCCTAAAATCCATTTGGAAAGTAAAAGGACCAGGAATACCCAAGACAATCCTGAAGATGATGAGCGTAAAAGGAGACTTGCCCTATCAAACAGCACTTTTTATATTCACAGTAATTAAAACAGTTATGTATTAGCCAATGATAGACAAATTGACAAAGGGTACAGACCCAACCCAAGGTTGAGAAGGGACAGTGTTGACCTGTCGTGAGGTTGTTAACCATTGTCATAGAACAGTATGCGTACTATCTGTTTAATGAGAAACTATCTGTTCTGTAAACCTTCATCTAAAGTACAATAAAAAAATTTAAAAAAAAAAGAAACAGACCTAGACATTTCTCAAAAATTGTTGTGTAATGAAAGCATCATTACAAATTAGTGCAGGAAGAACGCATTCTCCAAAAATGGTACAGGGGAAATTGGTTTTCTTTGTGGGGGGAGAAAATCAGATGTCTACCTCCACCATATACAAAAAATAAATTTCCAGTTTATTAAATACTTAGAAGTGAAAACAAAGACTCTTCAAAGAAAATTGTAAAAAATACCTTTATGAGTTTGATGTAGGGGAGATTTTCTTAAATGAGACTCAGCCAATCTTTAAAAAAAAAAGATTGATAAACATGACTACATTAAGTTTAAAAATAAAAACCTTTTTCATGTCTACAGATACTATGAATACAATGAAAAGACAAAGTATAGGCCAGGAAAAGAAGTTTGCAAAGGCTCTGAGTTGTGTTTTCAGTGTACATAAAATCAATTCATATCACATTTGATCTTTTTTTATTTAAATGAACAGCTCTCTTGAATAATAGATGTTGTATCTCCACCTGACCAATGTCCTAATTTCTCTACTTTCTAAGCCTAATATACTGTTATTTCATGTGTTTTTTTTTTTTAAAAAAAAAAAAAAAAAACTTAAACTCTTACTAATTTTACATCAAAGACATTGGTTGTCATTCTTCCACTGTTAAAAACATTTTTATAGTATTAACCAGAATAGCTCCTGCCATTTCTGAAGGGTTGAGTAAACGCAAATCAAATGAAATATAATGCTACAGACTTAGCCCTAATGTTAACAAAGATGAATAGTCTATCAGTGACAACCTGTGAGCTCGGCTCCACGCCAGAATTAAGTGCAAACGAAGAGAACTCTCATAGGAGCTACGTGTGCTTTGGGAGCTACACTGTCCTGTGTGATGTCCTTAGGCCCAGGCCCACGTTATCAGGAGTGCACGCCCAGTTACATTTTCTATCCTAACCTTACTCCTTAATTATTTGGCAAAAACAGTTTTTCCAGACCAGTAGTAAAGACTTTTCAGAATTAGCTGAGGAATGGTAGTGTAGGAGCACAGGGAGTCTAAATTAATAGCGGTGTTACACTCCCATTTCTAGAACCATATGGTTAAAATATGTGGAAGGGAAAGGCAGCATATGGTTTATTTCTATCCCTAGAAAGTTCAATTTAGTAGTGACATACTTGGTAGCAGTTTGAAATGGAGAGATAATGTTTGAAGAAGCCCAAGAGAGGTTGTACTATTAAATTCCAATGACATAATAGTGCAAAAGAGGTCTCACTGAGTGCCACCCCCCCCACCCCAACATGATAGGAATAAACAAGGAATTAGAGAAACTGGGGCATGGAGACGGGAAATCCTTAGTAGTGAAGTGATCCCTAGTATTCAGTGACATTTACAAAAGAAGAAGTAAACAAAAAGAATCATCAACAACAAAATTTATAAACTTCCACTGCGCTTCAATTACAATCTGAGTCACAACGGAGTAACTACATTCAGTTAAGTGACAGTAAGAATACACCATGTTCTATCCAATGCAGAATGTGCTTTTTCTAGCATTTTTGTTTGCCTACATAATTATAGCACCTGCATGCTTTTTGGTACCAATACAAGGTGCCTCATACCTTAAAGAGTTTGGACTGGGATGGAGGAGAAAATTTTGCTGTTTATGTACTCATGTTCATACACCATTTTATAAGGTTTGGCCAGTTGCTTTTTAATCTGTCAATATAAATGTCCAAATTTGGATAACAAATTATATAGGTCTGTGGGTAAGTAAGGAGCCCTGGTGGCACAGTGGTTAAGAGTTCAAGCTGCTAACCAAAAGGGCGGCAGCTCGAATCCACCAGGTGCTCCTTGGAAACCTATGGAACAGTTCTACTCTGTCCTGCAGGGTCGCTATGAGTTGAAATCTGCTCAACGGTAACAGGTTTTCGGTTTTGGTGGGTAAGTAAAAAAGCCCTGATGGCGCACTGGTTAAGCAGTCGGCTGTTTACCGGAAGGTCGCGGGTTTGAACCCCCAGCCTCTCCCTGGGAGAAAGATGTAGCAGTCGGCTTCCATAAAGATTTACAACCTTGGAAACCCTATGGGCAGTTCTAGTTTGTCCTATATGGTTGCTACGAGTCGGAATCCGCTTGATGGCAATAAGTTTGGTTTGATTGGTTTGTAGGTGAGTAGGCAAGAACGATGTGTGTGTGTGTGTGTTTACTCGTCTAACATTCATCTGATTACAAGTGTGTCTCTAGAGGCAGTGTTGCTCAGTAGAAACTAAAAACTAAGCAGGTTTTGAAACCAGATGAACCTGTATTGAATCCTGCTTCTGTCACTTATATATTGGATGATCTGAACAAGTTTCTTGGTGAGTTGCAGTTTTCTCACTTGTGAAATAGAAATTATAATATCTACCAGACAATAGTTATAAAAATTAAGGTTTGCTTACATGTGTAATGTGCATGGCACTGAACAGACAATAAATGTCTTCTCTGTTGGGTAGGATAAGCTGATAATTTTAAGTATTTTTACAAACTTTTAAATCTTTGAAATGCTAATATCTGAAAGAACTGAAATGTGTTTGCAATTAGGTATTTAATCTTTTGAAAGAAAATTCCTCAAAATATGATTAACTATTTTGTTCATATTACATTCAGCTTAAAGTTTGTGTTTATTATAATTAAAACTTATTGAAGCTATAAAATTGGTTCAAATGCTATTTATATGAATTTTTACCTAGACAGCACCACATCTATCAAGAATGTATTATTGTACCTCAAAAAGATCTTGAGTGCTTACTTCGGCAGAACATGTACTAAAATTGGAATGATACAGAGAAGACTAGCATGGCCCCTGTGCAAGGATGATACACAGATTTGTGAAACATTCTATATTTTTGCAGGAAGGGACAGGAAAATTGGATGAATGGAAATGGAGAACCCGGGGTCGAGAAGGGGAGAGGTTGACACATTGTGGGGTTGGCAACCAATGTCACAAAACAATTTGTGTTTTAATTGTTTAATGAGAAAATAATTTGCTCTGTAAACTTTCACCTAAAGCACAAAAAAAGAAAGATCTTCTGAGTCTTGTGAAATACTGAGCAGTTTCTTGAATGAAAATCTAGAATCCAGAGAATTTTGGATTCTGAGTTTAACTTTCTTTATGAAATTTTAATTTTAGAGCCACACACAATAGATTAGAATATAAAATCTTTATCAACAGATTCAAAGCCTTTGTTTTAGAGAAACCCAGGTCATTCATTCATTCAATTGTTTATTCATTCATCCAATCAACAAATATTTATGAAGAGCCAAACAGATTTTAATTATTACTGTATTTGGTCACTAGAGAAACAAGTAGCTCACAAATCAGGAGCCGTCTACCTCTATCTCTTCCCATCACCCAACTGCTATCCTCTATTTAAGCCTCTTCTCAATTATTAATTCCTCCATGAAGTCAAATTTCTATAGAAAATTAGCAAATTCTCCTTGTCACCCCCTTATCTTATCGCAGAACAACTCATTCCTCCATAGATACACATTCTACTGAACATATTAATAACTTGCGTATTTATCAGAATAACTCCTGCAATATTTTCTGGGTATCTGCCTTGTTAGTATTGCAAAAGCAGTGCTCAGAGGTCAGTTTATAGCAATAAATGCACACATCCAAAAAGACAAAAGGCTCATAATCAAAGCATTAACCCTA